GGTTGTGACGGATGGACGGACAGATGGGGATCTGCAAGCAGGAAGAAGAAGGGTCACTGGTCCTGCTCCGGGGTTGGCTGTGCCCAGGCACCGAGGGGACACGCCAAGCACAGTTTGGCCTTTTCCCACAGAGAAACACACCAGTTCCCAGAACACAGTACCCAAATCCATAGAATCATATAATCATAGAATCATGGAATGTGGTTGGCTGGAAGGGACCTTTAAAGGTCATCCAGTCCGACCCCCCTGCAGTGAGCAGGGACATCTTTAACTAGTTCAGGTTGATCAGAGCCCCATTGAGCCTGACGTTGAATGTCTCCAGGGATGGAGCCTCCACCACCTCTCTGGGCAACCTGTGCCAGTGTTTCACCACCCTCATTGTAAATAACCTTTTTTTCTAACATCTAATCTAAGTTTGCCCTGCTCTAGTTTATGGACCTGCCAATCCTCCCTTGGCTGTGTGCCAGTCATTGCCACCACTAAGGTCACTCGTGGAGATGACGCAGCTGTGAGGGAGCAAAGAATCCCTCATCTCCCCCACCAGGAGGTTCCCTTGTGATGGCTTCTCCTCGGGCACCAAAGGATGGGTGGCACGTCCTTCATCTCCCAAAGAGACACATGTGGCTGCTGCCAGGATAGAGCTTCCAGTCTTCAGGCAGTGTCAGTACAGTGAAAGGTCATAAAGGGAGGCACTCATGAGAAGCAGCCCTGGCCTGGGGCATTTTGGGGCTCTACAGGCTGCCAGCTCCATTCTAAGCCAAAACAGGGACTCTTTTGAGAACCATCTTTGAGTTTTCTGATCTCAGACAATTTTTCTTCTATTACTCCACAAAGGCCTTAGATTTCCATGCGGTTTGTTTGCCTCTTAAAAAATAGGCAGTGAGGAGGGCTGCTTAGAATGAGGCATCAAAGACCAACCCTTTTGCAGGTTTTGTGGAAAGTTTTTGAAAAACCATTTTTGAGACCTCCACTAGAACACCCAACCTGGAAAAACATCCAGAATTTACAAAAAATTGCAAGAAAACCCCAAATGGCTCATTGTCAATGCCCTTTGCCCAAGGGCATTGAGAATCCCCTTCCCAACCATGCTGCAGCCCCTGGGGTCCCCATATCCCTGCCCCCTCCCAGCACCCATGTCCTGTCTCTTCCGACCCTATTTTGGGAGATACTCACTAAATAAAGAGGACACCATAGGCAGCCAAGACCAGTCCAGCTGTCCAACACACTGCCACGGCCCCGCTGCCCACCACGGCCCCCTTGTCGCAGATCTTGGTGGTGGGGGGCGGCATGAAAGAAGAGGTGCTAGCGCTTGTTGTCTCTGCGGAGAGGGAGAGGGCAGGGTGAGGGTAGCGGAGGTGCCCCGGGATGCATCCCACAGGGGTAGCCCCGCTCCTCCACCAGCGGGGGCACAGCAGTATCCTGTCCCCAAACTGACCCTTTCACTGCCGTGCCACACTAGAGCTGAGCTGGAGACCTGGAATGATGAGCCAGGGGATGGTGTGGTCTGTGGGACTTTCCCTGCTTTGACACTGCGCCTACTGCTGGGACATGCTTGTACCACCACACAGAGCTGGGCATCCCTCCTGTCCCCATCCTGCTCTGTGCATCAGGTCTGTTGGAATTTTGGCTAAGAAGTCATAACATGGCTCAGTAGAGTGCATTCCCCACCCAGGGAACTCCCAGATTGTGTCACGGCTGCTGGGCTGGCTTGCAGAGCTTGTCCTCCTCCGTGCAGGACCAGATGGGTTGTCTGTCCCTGCAGAGGGCTGCAGGATTGCAGGTAGGGCTTAGATGGGCACTCAGACTGGGGTAGCTCCAGTCACATCCAGAGGGTCTCAGAGTGCCCCTGGCCAGACAATCTGGGTGAGGGATGCTGGGGGCCACAAGGGTCTATCTCAACACCTTTCAGATTCCACTGAGTTTGTATCACAGCATGGCTCAGTCCTGGAGCTGGGGTGTCCCACATTATCCCTTCATGGCTGCACACACGGGGACTGTGTGAGTGACATGTGTGTGTCTGAACCCCCAGATGAGCTCCTGGGTGATGTTTCTGCAAGCGAGTGTGTGTTTCCATAGTGAAGGCACCCCTACTTGCCAGCAGTAGGGCTTGCACCTACCACATCCCCATGCAGGAGCACCAACGGGGTCTACAGAGGTTTGTGCATGTCTCTGGCAGCACAGGGCTTGCACGTACATGCTGGGGTTTGCACACACAGCTGGGCTAGAGCTTGGGGCTGGGACGGGACACACACTGATCATGCCCACTCTTCACATGCACATTTGCTCAGCTCATAGGCACAGCCCCAACTAGAAGCCAGGTGCCTGCCTGCCTGCCTGCCTGCCTGCACAGTGGTGCTTCCCCCCCCACCCCGACCAGTGCCAGCCAGGGGAACCAGCACAGGGTCTGCTCCAGGAGCCCTTCTGGGAAACGGAGGGCTGATAACACCCATTTGGACACAGTCCCAGCTCTTTCCTAGAAACAGAGGCTTGTTAACTTTGTGGCTTTTATTTCGAATTGGCATTGCTCCGAGCCATCGTGCAGGGTCGGAGGCGTGGAGAGGGGAGGATTGGAGTGGGAGGGCTGGAGGGGGGCCTATGCTTCAGGGAATAATAACAACAACAATAACAACAATAATAATAATAAAGTAAAACTCCGAAATCCTCCAGTTTCATTGTCACACCCCAAAGATCCTGGTGAGGATACTGGAGACAGGTGAACTGAGTTAGCACTCCTTGGGTCATGGCTGCAAATGCTGCCAGGACCATAGGTTGGGGGCAAAGTGTAGAGTGAAGGGCTGCAGCTCCCCTGCCCAGGTACTGGATCTCCTTGGCTGGGGGCGAAACTTGCATGGAGCTGGATGGGGGGACCCTCTGCCAGGACTCCTGGGTTCCCCCCACACCTATGGGCACAGACAGTTTGTACTGGGAGGGTAGGTCTCTCACCTGTGATCTGGGCCTCCGTGGTGAGATGCTTGGGCTCCTCGGTCCAAGGGGTGGCATGGACGGCCACACTCCAGTCACTCCACGTGCCGATGTCATTGTCTTTGGCTGCCACCTGGATGATGTACTCCTTGCCAGCGTAGGCATCGGTGATGGTGTGTGATGTTCCGTCTGACAGCTCAACCTGAGGGCAGCAGCAGGGAGGGGTGGGCAGTCAGAGAAACCCTCAGCATCAGGAGGTGTAAGACAATCAGTGTGCTTAGCTTGGCTAGAGGATGATCATAAAGTTTTTGCAGCACTTTGGGAAGTGCTATGCACATGGGACAGCGGCATGAACTGCCCAGGTCAGGGACAAGGGGAGAGAACACTCCAGCTGCAGGTAAGCCAAAGGTCTGGTGAGACCCTGTTCAGCTCCTAAACTCATGGTGCCGAGGCAGCTTCCTCTAGAGGTCACCAGAATCTCACAGATGTCTGGCCAGGCTCCACTCGGTCATGTTGGGGCTGATGGGAGCCAGACACCCAGGGCAACGACTGCGGTGTGAGGACACGCTTTCCTGGGCATCAGTGACAGTACTGGGAGGAGGCTTCCCCCACCAGCACAGCTCTGGCCGTGCCCCTCTGTTCCTGCTGGCACTGCACCGGCTTGGCTTGCATCCCTGTGGCTGGGTTTTTGGTCAAGAATCAAGCTGTGTCCAACCATTTTTTTCTAGAAAAATTCCCTCTGTCCTGTTGTCACTGCTGCCTTGGCCATGGGAGGTCCTGCCATCCTCCTGGGGATGCGGCCACTGCTGCAATGCTTTAATCCCAGACTGTGTCCACACCTGCCAGGGATCACCTGGAGCTTGGCTCAAGTACAAGGGGATGTAGGTGCCCAGCAGAAATGCATCCCCATCAAACAGACCACCAGTGAGCAAACACCTGGCTGACAGAGGAGCATGGCTCAGCACCCAAGTGACTTTCCAGGGAATGGGCTTGGCTTTGGGGTCCTGGAGGTATGGAGGGCACCAGAGCAGGAGCATCCTGCATAGCCTGTGAGGGAGACTAGCCTCCACTCAGTCTCTGAGACTGAGGACCAACAGCTTCATTCCTACCCTGCACTGCTGGTGGCACAGCAGGGAGACAGGGCACTCTTGTCCTGGCTGACACAAATCACCTACTCTCCAGACACATATTGATCATAAAGATGCTGGAGGATGAGGGATGGTGTGGGTCTCACAGAGCCCATCTGTGGCTCCCAGTGCCCAGGCAGGGGCTCATGCTCAAGCAGAACAAGCAGCACTTAATGGGTGGGGGAGATCTTCACAGCACAACCCACACGGGGTCTTCCATGTCTCCCCAGCCATCCAAAAGAATGTCAGGCACAGGATTTCGCTGCTGCAGGGAGCACTAACAGCCGAGTTTTATTAAGATCTCAGTTCAACAACAGGAGCAAGATGGAACCGAAAACTTCCACCTGGTCCTTGGTCACATCCTGAAGCCCAAGGAGTAAAAAGATGAACTAGGGGTACCTGGGCCAATGCACCTGTGGGACGAATCTGCCCCGGCACTGCAGCTTTACGCATTCAGGGATGGTGTGCACAGTGTGAAAAGCATGTAGCTGAAAAGCAGGAACCCACCTTGAGAAAGACCGAGCCTTTTTCCAGTTCACCCAGTACAGAACATGCAACAATGCAACACCTCAGCACAGATTTAATCCCTTTGTCACACAAACTGAAGCCCCTGCCCTGGCTTTTACAGCTGCTCTGGGGAATCTCTGCCAAGGAGAGGGGCAATTTTGCTTTCTTGCTCCAGGTGAGAGCCTTTCCCCCCTGTTCCTTCTCCCAGGGCCACATGCAGCCTGCTGCCTGGCACAACAGGACCCTTGGGCTCTGTGCTTCCAGATGCTTGTGCTGCCTGGCCTGAGCGCCACATTTGGAGCACATCTGGAGTCAGGTCCAGCTGCCTCCCCCCACTCCCACCCGTCGGAGAGCAAAGGGCCTCCTGCTGCCCACAAGGTGTGAAGCTGCTACCAAAACTTGGCAGGGGAGCAGTATGGAAAAATGCAGACATCTGTCTTGATGTGTTGATTTTGGGGGCTAGATGTGCAGGGCAGCACGGGGCAAGTCCTGCCTCTTCTTGCACCACTGACTCAGAGTTGACACCCATAGCACTGGTGGGATGTAAAGAGATGGTTTCACTGCAGGGCTTATGTCAAGCTGTAATATGCCTAAGCCCTAAATCACCGCTAGCCAAAACGGCTGGGATAATTAATGCCTGAATCCATCCCTACTATCCAGGGGACATCTTCCCGTTGTGCCACGGGTCTCATCATCAGGTCTGACCCATGGTGTGGGGGGAGTAATTCAGCGTGCCCACCAAGGGGGTCCAAAGTCAGAAACTGGCTGGAGAGAGCCTGGCATGGGGAGCAGATCAGCGCAGTGACCTTGGTGAGGCTTCATGCAGGGTCTCTCTGAGTTTTCAGAATGCTGGAGAGGCTGATGGCCAGCCCTGGGGTCACTGATGCTGCCTCTTTTCCAGGTAATGGGGTCAGTTTTAAAGCAGTCCTGTTTAGCAGCTTGCAGGTTTCCAGCACAGTCTGTACCAGGTGGGTGGCTGCTCCTATCCCAGGGCTGGGGACAGCCCATCCTGCTGGGGAAGGGTTTTGGACCATTTCACTTATGGGAGAAGCGAAAACTGAAATACTGTGAGGTCTGGGCAGAAGGGAGGATGAGGAAAAGAAGACGAGGAGGATGCCAGTTCCTCCTGCAGGACATGAATTTGCACCCTCCAACCTGGGAGGAGGGGTTGGCAGAAACCCATCCTACTAACCCCACCATGCTCCAGCCCCCCACCACTCTCAGATGGGGACCAACACTAGAGCTCGGTCAGGATCCTCAGAGGTGAGGACCCTGGTGGACTGTTGGCACCCACCGCTGCACCCAGCAGATTTGAGGGGACAATTCCTGTACCCTCTTCTCATAGGGACATACTTTCACAGCCCGGTACCCTCTTCTCATAGGGACACACTTTCACAGCCCAGGCACCCAGGACAGGACACCCACCAGGCTGTAAATCACCTGGCCCATGCAGGGCATGTTCCACAGCCTCATGGCACCGAGAGGCTGTCCCTGCAACCCAGACCCTGGGATCCATGCCTCTGCCACCAGCTTTGGTCACTGCTCACACAGGCATGCTGCCTGCAGGCACAGGGCACGGGACACACCACTGACCAGGGATGGGATCAGCCCAGACCTGTTTGCTGGCACCCATTCATTTGAACAGCAAGGCCAAGGTGATCAAACTCAGTTCATTCCTAATGACAATTAAATCAAATGTAACCTTTCTGGGTGAGCCTACAGAACCCCTGCAAGCCTGTTTATCCCAGCTTCATCTGTGCTGGGCTGGGGTGTGCCTTGGAAGCAGGGAATGAGCGCAGGGCTCAGAAAGAAGAGTTGTGTGTGATGTGTGGCTGGTGTGTTTGTCTCTCTAGGTCTTTCAGCATCCTCTGAGCAAATCTGGCTGCTGCCCGAGCCCAGCAGCAAGCAGGCTGCAGGCAGGCCAGCCCCGCTGAGGTCCTGCTTGCTGCTCCATCCAGAGCGTTTTCTGCAGCCCGAAGAGCCCTCCCAGCTGAGCACTTCCCCGTGGGAGTAATTCCTGCCTCTCCCTAGCTGCAGCCAGACTGCAGCTGAGTGTTTGCAGATGGGACGGTGCAGTTAACAATGGGGTCAAGGCTATGCCTTGCCTGGGGTGGGATGTTCCCCCAGGACCCAGGGGGATGCTATCCTAAGATTCTCTTCAGACACCAGACAAACAGAGAAGGCATAGATGACAGCATCCATCTCTCCACACACATAAACCGCCTGCATGCAGCACTTCTGAGCTGCGCAGCTGAGGGACACATCTGACATTTGCCACAGTGGGTGAGAAAGCCCCTGGTTGAGTGCCCATGGCTCAGCACAGAAACAGCAGCAAGTGGGAAAGCACACAGGGACCAGGTCCAACTGGACACATACAGGCAGAGCTGGTGGTGGTGGGGAGACTGGGGAGGTCATGGAGGGATGGATGGACACACAGCATCAAAGGCAGCGGGAGAAATTCCTTAATCCGCGTCCCCGCCACACAGAGACAAAAGCTGGAGGAAGGCTGCGCATGGTAATTTTTTTGGCCGGGGGGCTCTGCATGTCGCTGCCTGCCTTTGTGCACCTGCCAAAAGTCACTCTGGCTGGCTGTGAAGCGCTGCCCAGATTAATGAGGGATCAGTAGTCAGTGCAATGCAGAGCTATTAGCATTGCAACAAAAAAAAAAAAAAAGAGAAAAAAGAGAGAGAAATGAAAAAAAGCTCTTGAACCCATTAATTCAGCCAACAGCTTTCTGAGGACAGCGTGGGCTGGATTCCATTCCTTGCTGTGGCCCCATACCCCCATCAGCCTGCTTGGAAAGATAACAGGGCTGCCGAGGGATGGCCAGTGCCCACCCACAGCCCTGACGAGCACCAGGACGAGACCAGGGGCTGGTGCCACATGGATGGGATGGGGACAGACACCCAAGGCAGGTGGAGGGGAGGATTTTCCAGCGCCCAGCTTTCCCCTGTCCGCACTGGTGCCCCGTCCACATGTGCTGGAGTCCTGGGGACATCCACACAAGCTGTCCACTCCATGTACCTCAACAGGGGACACCCACGTGTGCCCTTGTCCCAGTCCCTGCCTCAGACTGGTGGCACTGCCTTTCAGTGCTCAGCATAGCAGGAGTTAAGGAAGCCAACCGCCCCCTGACATGGTACCCCTGCTCCCGCTGACCCCAGCCCTCCCTGCCAGGGTGTCCCAGCAGTAAAAAAATGCCACTGTGCTCTGTTCCCACCCAGGCTCTGCTCCTGGTCCAGCATGACAAGGTAGCGACTATTTGCAGAGTGATGCACAGTTGGATCTGAAGCCCAGATGGCCTTTGGAAGTAGGTGATGGGGAAAAAAACCCCCCAACCTTCCTTGCCCCAGCAGCTGAGCTGGGGGCTAGATTGCAATGGAAGGAGGCAGAGGGGGAGAACAGGGGATCAGAAGCCTCCTTCTCTACATCTCACATGAAAATGTGCTTGCAGGCTGTCCCGTGGCAGCAGTGGTTCTGTTTTCCCTTCCTGGACACTTCCTTCTCCCCAGCGCAGCTCCTGGCATGGGAAGGTGATGCTCCACTGTCAGGAAGCTGGCAATATGGG